TAAATCGAGGGACACGCGATCTGTGTGTCTCCGTGTTGCCTTGTTAATCCAATGAAGCAGAAACAGAAACAGAGGAAGACGGTAGTTTGGATGGTGCCCCACAGCTCGCAGAGAGGCAGGGTGAGCCTTCGAGCAGAACTGCCAGGCCGGCTGGTTCGTTTCTGACCCTGCCTGCGGTCAGCAGCGCCACCAACAGCCGTGATAGAATAAAATTTATGTTTTTGAGGCCGGACAAGAAAATGCAAGTGTAACATACTCCCTGCCCTGTGTTGGGCCCTCCCTAACGTGCAAGTATACGTTAACCGGACCTCCTCAAAGGCAGGGGTGTCCACTCAACCATAAAGAACAATTTTTTCCCCTTCTTCAGACACCAGCACTGTAACTCCTTAGAAGAGAACATTCTTTCCCGACCCCGTCAGGGGTCATGGTGACCGACTGCTTGCCTCCTGCCGATTTGGACCGTGACTCTTTGGTGAACGTGGTGTAGAATGTCAGCGTGTCATTTTGATGTGTGATCCTTTGTCTCAAAAATGCACATAATTGTGCTTTCAATTGCTAACATGCGGAGCCGTCCTCAGAGCTTCCTGGGACGGTCGCCTTATAATTCTCAGGTTGGCTCAAATAAAATCCTCCGTTTCTCCCTCAGATGGACACTGGTTAATTTTTGTCAACAGTAACCACCAAAGAGCACAGCAGGGGCCAGGGTGCAGCCCCCCTCCCCACCGGTGTCTGCCCAGGCACCTCTCTCCCGGTGCTGTTCCTGCCCCCGTCCTTGGGGAACTGTCCCTACTCACTCCAAGTTGTTCTGGTGGGGGTGACAAAAACAGCCCAGCAGGAAGCTCTCTCACCAGACACCTGCCTCCAAGGCTCTGGTCCTCTGGGAAAGTCCTCACGCTCTCCAGGAAACTCAGACGCCAAAGGCTGATGCTCCTCCCTGGGAGGACTCAGGCTTCTGCTCCGACTCGATGAGCGAAGCCTTGCCCAAAGCCATTTGGATTTGTTCCCAAAGTATTCGTGCCACTTGAAGTTGTTCAATAACGACATGACTTAAGTACAATGTAGACTGGTGAGATTCTGCAAAAAACAAACAGAGAATTGTTGTTCCTATTCAAAATAAAAACAAAACAGATCTACACTGTGTGGAGGGGAAAAATCAATACGCAATCTATAATAGGAATAGAAAAGGGTTTTATGTGAACCAAACTGAGGATGGTAGTCCAGGAGACAGTCCTTTTGTTTTGATTTTTTTTAACTGAAGTACAGTCAGTTACAATGTGTCAAGTTCTGGTGTACAGCACAGTGTCCAGTCACACATATCCGTACATATATTCGTTTTCATTAAAGGTTGTTACAAGATATTGAACGTAGTTCCCTGTGCTGTACAGCAGAATCTTTCAGGAGACAGTCTTAACTGAATCACTATGCTGTACACCAGAAAATAACACAACATTGTTATTTAAAAAGTGGATCTTGGAAGACCTTCTATCCACTTTCTCATTTTTTTTTCATTGTGCTAAAATAGAAATAACATAGAAGTTGCTATTTTAATCACTTTTTCTAATTAGTAAAAAACTGTATTATGGGAAAACATACATAAAACTTACCATTTTAACCATTTTTAAATGTACAGTCTGTGGCATTAAGTATATTCACAATGTTGTGCAACCATCACCCCTATCTACTTCCAAAATGTTTTCATCAGCCCAAATAGAAACTCCATCACCCTTCCTCCAGCGCTGTGACCTCTAGTCTACTTTGTGCTTAAGAGTGGCCTGGGCTACACAGTTCACGTGAACAGAATCACACACCGTGGGGCCTTTCCTGCCTGGCTTCTGTCACTGCTTTCAAGGTCCATGCCTATGTCAGAACCGTGTTCCTTTTCTGGCTGAATAGTATTGCACCGTGTGCATAGCCCACATTTTGTTTATCTGCTCCTCTGTTGATGGACACTCAGATTGTTTCCACCTTTTAGCTTTTATAAATAAAACTGCTATGAGCACGGGTGTATAAGCTTCTGTTTGAGTCTCTATTTGCAGTTCTTCGGGGTAACTACCTAGGGGTGGAATTGCTGGGTCGCATGATAATCCTATGTTTAACTTTTTGAGGAACTTCCAAACAATGGTCCACGGTGGCTGCACCATTTTACATTCCCCAGCAATGTACAAGGGCTACAATTTCTCTATATCCTCCCCACCATTCCTTATTTTCAGATATTTGATACCAGCCCTCCTGGTGGGCAGGTGTGATATCTCATTGTGGTTGTGATTGCATTTCCCTCGTGACTCACGACACTCATGTCTTTTCATGTGATTTTCGGCCACTGGTATGTCTTCTTTGGAGATATGTTGATTCAAGTCCTTTGTCCTTTTTTTTTTTGAAGCCATACAAACATTTATTCTGCATTTGATTTCACTGGTTCAGAAGTCCAAGGCTGGAGTAAATCCACCTGGCTCCCTTCGGTGTCCTTACTCTGAAGTCGCTGGACTGAACCGAGGCTGGCAAGACACTGCTGCTGATTTCTGGCCCTCCGAGGCCTAGAGACTCACCCCCTAGACAGGCCTGGGACCAGACCGAGCTCAGGAGGCCACAGGTGCAGTCTCAGTGGCATCAGACACTGTTTGGGCCGATTCCTGAGGTCTCGCTCCTGCACCCCAGAACACGAGGGTCTGGCTCATGAGCCCGTGACCCCTGTGGAAATACCAGGCCTTTGGCTGGGCTGGCCTCTAGCCCGTTTCCTCTGGGTAGCATGTGGGAAAGAGCTCCCTGCTTCTTTTTGTGCAGGGGAGGAGGGTTGTAGGTAATTAGATTTTATTTATTTTTTTTGATGGAGATACTGGGGATTGAACCCAAGACCTCGTGCATGCAAGCACGTGCTCTACCATTTAAGCTCTACCTCTCCCTGTTTTTCTTAAGTCATCCAGATCTAGCTTCAACGGGTCCTGAAACACCTTTGCCCCACCTGCACTAGAAAACAAGAGCTGATTTTTAAAAGCCAAATTCTCATTGCATTTGGACAGAATGAATAAAGTATTTTTCATACTTTCTTTATATTTCCTTTCAAGAGTTGTATGACCCAACATCTTTCTGTCTGCTCTATACAATGAAAATACAAACTAAATGAGAATAGAAAAAAATAACGAAAGCATTAAATCGTACAAATTACAAATCTGTTCCAAAATATACTTACATTAAATAAAATACACATTTCAGTAAGAGATTTACAGTGAATGACTAGTTTCTAGGAAGCTGCAGAACACCTAGGCAGGGCCGACATTCTAGGAAGGAGCTAAGAGGATTTGCATCCAATCACAGTTTGTAGTGGGTTTCTGATCACCGACCTTCAAGCCACACTGAACACGTCATTAGCATCACTGTGCAGAGAACGGACTTTGCCCATTCTTAAGGGAGGTTTCTTGTCTTTCTGTTGTTGGGTTTTAGAAAGTTCATGTTTTAACTACTGGATTTCTGAAAGATATTGCATCTAAAAAAAAAAGTTTTCCTGATAAATGAAAGCTGGGACCTGGTCCAGTCTTTTTTCTTTCACCAATAGAGAAACAGAGACTCATGAAGTCAAGACACCTGGGAAGTAGCGAAGCAGAGCCTGACAGACGGCCTCACCTCCTCTGACCTCACTCAGCACCTGGAGTGAGAGAGGACCAGGAGTGCGCCCTGGTGCCTTCCAGGCCAGAGGAGCAACACATGCAAAGACAAATCCTGCTGTAACGGACCAGGACCCTGTGCGGCCTTCCAGGGTCAGACCCCTCCCCCATGTCCTCTGCTGCAGCTCCTCTGTGAAGGACCCATGGATCTCATGGATATTTCCTGAGTTTTTCAGCAACTTAAAACCACCACCAATGGGAAGGAAAGAACTACTTGATGATGGCGAACACATAGCCCCCAGACCTTCTGGCGCCCAGGGGTTGATAATGTTCCCTCAGCATCGACCAGTCAGAGAATTGCGCACAAGCTGTTTGTGCTCTCCCTTGCCTGGCCTTTAAATGGGCTTTGCTGAAACCCTTCGGGGAGTTTGGGGTTTTCTTGGGCATGAGGCACCCCGTCCTCCTTGCTCGGCCCTGCAGTAAACCTTCCTCTGCTTCAAACTCCAACGTTTCAGTGTGTTTGGCCTCATGGTGCGGCGGGCATATGAACTTGCCTTGGTAACACTGTCCTTCAGGACTTGGCTCCAGCAGTCGTCTCGGGTGGGAAGATGAGGCTGGCGGGGTTGGGTGTTTGCGGGCATGGTGGGAAGTTCCCTGTAATTGAGGGAGGGAGAGAGTGGTGGCAAATGAGGCTAGATTCGGATTTTATTTTAATTATTTTATTTTGGTTGGGGGATGTAACTAGGTTTATTTTCAGAGGAGTTATTGGGGAATGAACCCAGGACCTCATGCATGCTAAGCAAGCACTCTACCACTTGAGCTATACCCTCCCCCTGGAAGGTTGTTTTTTTTTTTATTGAGTTATAGTTTACAATGTTGTGTAGACTTGGAAGGATCTAAATGCCAGTAAGTTGGGATTTTCAGCCAGGAGACCCCAAGCTACAAATTCAAACACCCTCCTGGGACCGCAGGTACTGTAAATGTGAAGAACAGAGGGTGTGAGGCGATACGGAGTGGAGGGGCCTGTGGCTAACCAGAGAGGGCCTGTCCTCCCTAAAGGCAGAGCGCAAGACTGCCGGTTTGTGATTCCTAATGTATGAAGGCGAGGACCAATAGCCACCCGGCTGGCCAGCCTTGGGAAAGGAGCTCCTCTTGTTTGCAGCACCATTTTCGTCACCTGGAAAGCAGGCGTGATCCTGGGTTGCGTTAGGAGTAAAGGGATAGCTCACGCTCGGCTCCAGGCACCCAGCTGGCCTTCGATATCCCTTGTAAGGCCCACCCCTTCCCGCCAGGGCGCTCGTGCCCTTTAATCACCATCTCGCGGCTGCGGCCCCTTTAAGGCGGCCTTGGAGGACCCAGTTTTCGAAGCTAAGAGTGATCTTCTAGCTGCTGCCTCTATGGTAAACCGTCACTTCCGCCCGGAAGTGCGTGTGCGAGGCGGCTTTTCCCGGGGATTGGGAAGACCCCGGCAACGTGCTCGCTCTTGTCTGGGAGGCGCACTCTTGTCCGAGAGATGCACTCTCGTCGCCGAGGTGTGGCGGGTCCCCGGCCCGCAGGGTGACGCTGGGCCGCAGCTGGGCCGTCATGAAGCTCCGCGGGCCCGAACTTCAAGGACCGCTCCTCGCACTGCAGCTGGGGCTTGGACGGAGGAGACCGAACGCAGACACCACAGTCGGGGTGAGGGGCTGTCGAGGCGCCCGCCCCTCAGAAGAGCCTTGGATTCCCCGGCTGGGGGTGGCCTTCGTGAGTTTCCGGGGTGTGTAAACATCCAGTGAGACTCACCCTCCAGAGCATATTGTCTCCCTTTCCCCAGGGTTTCCACCGAACCGGAGAGCTCTCCAGCCCCCGGCGATTGGATGAAGCCTTGCAACCTTGGTTTTCGCCTCCTCGTCGGTGACGGTATTCGGAGTGACATCAGTTTGGGGGATCCAGGTATGTCAAGCACGGAGACGCAGGGTCCTGAGGCCGGTGGTCTGGGAAGAGGCTCCTGTGTTGTTGAACCCTCCCAGTTGTGGGTGCAACCTTGTACCAGGCAGCCCGACCCTGACCTAAAGTAAATTCCCAGGAGACCGTTTCCCTGGGTTTTGAATTTGCAGTAACAGGTGTGAACATTCTAGCAGCCGTTTGATGATCATGTATGATACTGCAAACAGAACGTTCATTGCAAGAAGACCACTGTAGTTAGGATCAGAGATCAGGTCGTTTCCAAAAGCCTATGAACAGCGTTAATGTGACTTGTTTTATTCAGTAACTATGTTTTGAAATTTGGGCCAGGTACCATGCTGATTGTTAGGGATACAGAGATGAACAGAACAGTTACAGCCCTTGTTCTCAGGGAGCAACAGCCCAGCTGGGGTGACGTCAGTAAGTGCCTGGACAACAGAAGGGAGCCATCCTAGCTGAGAAGACATGTGACAAAAGGCCAGACACATGAGAGGAGGCTTCAGAGGAGGTGGGGACCTCAAGGCTTGGGACCAAACTGGAGACCACCACGGCGACAGGTAGGGGAGAAAATGTACGACTAAATGGGCTGGTGGTGGATTTGGGGGTGCTTTGTCAGAGTTCAGGTTTATGGTGCCCATTACGGGCAGGTTTCTGAGGGAGGCCCCACGTGGTGGTGTGCAGATGTCCGGGTGTGCCAGGAGCAATGGGTTAGGAAGTCCTTGGGATGAAGCTTGTAGACTTGGAAGGACTAGGGGACTGGTTGGTCACTGCCAGGCACTGTCTGCATTGTATTCTGGGTGGAAGGTAGATTTTAGATTTGGGAGGGTGTTTTATTGTGCTAACAGTTTTAAATTCTCTGAACGTTCAGACTCGCCCCAGTAGTGTAGAAACTGTTAACAGGTGCTTCCTTTGCAGGTGAGTTTCCTGGAAGATTTGTGTATGCTGCACGACGACGGTGACTCCTGACGGGTGGCACTTGTGAGGGTTCGGTAAAGCTCGTAGGAGCACAGTGGACCAGTTAGCTGTGCCTTTGTGAGTGTTAGTTACCCTTTTCCCTCGGATTTTCAGTGCATTTTCACAGCATATCCAGCTGGGAACCTCTAGGGGTCTGCGGCGTCTGAAAGTTCTGGGGTCTTTACAGATGCTGCTTCCAACAAGAAGAGGCCTGCCTGCCTCAGGGTGAGCGAAACAGCCCCAGCGCCGAGGCAGGGGTCTGCTCCAGGCTCTTGACTTTTTAGCGTTTTAGTTTTCCTGTTGGGGCCACTCACAAGGGCATACAGTTCACAGGACGGTGACCTGCACTCCCCCGTGTGTGCTTGTCTTTAGAGGGAGAGGCTGCAGTAATTGCCTAAATGAACCCGTTGTACTGAGATGGGGTGTGTCGGGGAAAGCGTACATGTGGGTATTTCTGGAATAAAGAGCTTTTGTGCCCGGGCGCTGCCTTGTTCTTCTACGTGGTGTTTCTCTGGAGTGCGGGTGTCGGCTTCCTCGCTGTGGCCGTGGGCGGGTCCTTGTCTGTCTGTCTCCATGTCAGTCTGGTCAAGCAGCCCCGGGGCTCCGTGTCTGCGGACTGTCCTCCAGGAGTTGATCCAGCCTTTGGTTTGCTGAGTTAATGGGAAGCATTAGCCGTGGGTCCCTCTGGGCAGTAGCGTGTCATTTGTAGCATGGAAGATGTTAGCGAATGAAGTTCACGTTGACGGAGCCGTTGTGATTTTTGAGGATGTTTTTGGACTCTGACAGCGAACAAGGACCATGCCTTCGTGTCCCCTGGGAGTCCCCTTGGGTTGGTCTGGGACTTCCTAGGACAGAAGAGCCTGCCAGGAGCAGGGAAGGGGATGCTGAGAAGAGAGTGGTTGTTCCCGGGCAGAGAGGCTTCGTCTTCCCCGGAAGCCCACGCATCCCCGGGTTACCTGCTTCTCTTTGCGTCCTGTCCTGCTTCCTGCTGCTGGGTCTGAACATTGACTGTCCGGCCCTTGTCTGTGACTGCAGCACAGGGCGTGAGTGTTCTTGGTTTCACACAGTGGGTGTGCCGGGTGCCTGAGTGGGTGATGAACGGAGCCCTCAAACCCATGGGAGGAGACACGTGAGAACATTTCATGGAGCCAGTGGATTCCTGGGTGTGGCTCCTGGAATGTTTCCCAGCGACTCTGGCTCCTGCGGCTCCAGCCCCCTCATCGAGTCGACCCCAGCTGGTCACAGCGTGGTGATGGCATGCTTGTTTTCCCCAGAGTGCGTGGTAGGCTGTGTGCACCGGGGATGGGCCTCAGCGCTTACGACGTTCCTCTGGATTGTGTAAGAGAGGGTTGAAGCAGGCAGGAGTCCAGACTTTCAAAAAGATGGTGTTTTGATAGTAGCAGTGGATAATCAAGCGTGTGAACTCTTAAGAAGTTGTTTTTAACGGCCCAAAGCAGAAAACTTAAAAATTGAGCCAAAGGACAGTTGCCAGGTCAAGATTTTGAACTTCTTTCTTTGTCCACTAGGGGGTGGAATCCTACACCAGACTGCTGTATTCTCTTGTAACTTGGTACAGAGTTTTCTGGGTTTGGGGGTTTTTGTTTCTTTGTTTTGTTTTGTTTTAATTTAGCCAAGCTCTTATTTCACCAGAAAATTATGCAGAAAGTTAATCTGCAGGGTTGTGCTCTTAGGAATCTGCTAGGGTGTCCCAGCTGCAGGCAGTTTCTGGGACATGCTTATCATGTCTTGGACCAGTTGAACCAAACTCGGTCATAGGACACGGCTGGCACTTGGAGACCAGAGCACATTCTAATGCAGCTTTCTGTCCAGAGTCACTCCCAGTGACAACAGGTGGTTCTACTCAGCATGAAAGGTTTTCTTTGATGAGAAATCCAGTGCAACACATACTAGTGTTTGAGGTCTCAGACGGTGTATTAAGGGTTTAAAAGCATCTCTGACCAGAACGTTGCTCATACTTGAAATTAAAAGGGACAGATTAAGACTGAAAGACGTTTGTACAAAACCAGTGTGTTTCAGATTGTTGATTACTATCTGCTAGAAAAGTGCCCTTGATTTGGCGGGGGAGAAGGAATCACAACTCTGGAGGTGTGATTTTAAGTAGAGTATTGCACATTTGGTTTATGAACCTGGTTGACAGCTTTCTGATGGATTAAACAGATGTTGGCCAAGTGAGGCCAAGACAGGGAGCAAAGCAGAGGCATCTTGTCCTCAGGGAGCTAACGTTCCAGTGCCCGGGAGACAGAAATCATTAGAGTTGTGGGATATCACAATTGTGCTGGGGAAAAAAAAGGGAACTGGGGTAGGAAGGAGTGGGGTATGAGGTTTGCAATTTTAGTTAGGGTGGCTGGGAAGGGCCTGGATCTTTAATTTAGCAAAATCCTGAAATAGGGAGTAAGTCATGTGACACCCTGGAACAGCATCCCAAGCAGAGGGAACAGCCAGTGAAAAGGCAGCAGAAGCAGCCAGAATAATAGACCATGAGCAAGAACGGCTTATGAGGAGGACTGAAGCGGCCTGGGGATCAGGTCTTGCAGAATCTTGTAGGGAATTGTGGGACTTTGGCTTTTACTCAGAGTAGTGGACCATTTTCCCCCCCTAATAAAGTAGTTAACGTTAGAAGTATTTCCTGTTCTTGTGCTAAGAAATTTGCACATTGAGCTGACCCCAGCTCTGTGCATTGGGAGCATTACTTTTCCCCTTGGCAGCTGGTGGCATCTCTCACTCTTGGCTCTGTTGAACTGTAACTTCCATGTCCTGAGATGAGTGACACGGCAAATGTTTAGATATGACAAGTAAAGTTCTGGGACAAATGACCCTCTTCACACATGAAGGCCCTGTGCCCTTCACCTCGTAGACGAAGCCAGAGGTTGCTCGAATGTCTGCCTGTCTCAGCGGCAAGGATGGGTCCCTGTCCGCCTGTGCTCACCTCCACCGTAGGACTCCTCCTGTTTTATGATTGTTTTCTTGTCTGTTTCCCCCTGGGAGGAACTGTGTACTTGTCTTTTCAACAGAGTAGATAATGTGTCATTTAAATCGTTACATTACCATCAGGAGGACTACACGAAGTACATTCCCCTGTAATCTTGACAATGTACAGGCCTGTTGGGGTTGGAAACACATAACAAATGCATTGAAAACAATTAGTCATTCTGATGTTTTTTTTTTCACATCAGTTTTGTGGCTCCAGCAGAAAACTAGGTCTTTGTTGCAAATTTAATTCAAGTGGAGCTAAGTCAGGGGGAGCTCGCGTGTCTCCAGTCTGTCAGCCGTGCAGTTGTGTGCCAGTTACACAACACAACGCTGCTTTAGAAGGGCAGCCGCCGTCAGCAGGACGTTTGGATTACTGTATGGAGTCCATGTAAGACTCCTGTTTGCTGCCATCCCTGCCGAGTCGATTTCTTCCTATCAAACGCCCAGCATTTGTGCCCATTTGTAAACTTTGACGGGTTGTCATCTGTTAGGATGAGTTACCGTGATGAGTCTCTGGGAAAGCTCCCATAAATCCCCTTCGCTTGTGGGCCACCTTTGTTTCAAATTACTTGCAAATTAATTGCCCCTTGGAAAGTTAATGGGGGGAGATAAAAAGAGGAGATTAAGAAGTCAAAATGACAAAGGTCTCGCTTCCTCTGGTCACGTTAGATACGTGTAAACCCTGCTTGGTGTTTTTGTTCTTAGTTTTTTTTCCCTAAAGTAATAGTGCATTCATTTTAAAAGTTGATGGGATGGGGAGGGTATAGCTCAGTGGTAGAGCACTTACTTAGCATGCACGAGGTCCCGGGTTTAATCCTCAGTACCTCCATTATAAAAAACCTAATTACCTTCCCCCCAAATAAAAAAAAATTTTTTTAAGTTGATAGGACTCAAAGGCTGGCACTAAACAGCAGTTCCCCGCTTCCCACAGCCCTCCCCACAGGCAGGGTTTTGCACTGGTTCACTCCTCCCCCTGTTTCTGAAAAGCCCGTGTGTGTGCTGATCTCTGGACTCCCCACCACCCCCTCTAGTCCTTGCCTGTTGCCTGCCTTCCCGGTGGATCCGGGCTGAGTGCTCACAACCTGCCCCCTGCTTCCATCCTCTGCTGCAGTCACCCTGTATCTTTTCTGTTTCCATCATTGAGAGGCGACCCTGTTGCGAATGTGCGGAAGGGCTCTGCGTGGCCTTTTTACTTTCTCCCCTCATTGACATTTCGCGTCTTTGGCTGCGCTTTGTTTGAACCTCTTGCCAATAATTCTTCCCACGTTTATGGTAGCCTCTCAGCATAACTTGACACGAGGTCAACCCCATTAATAATCTATCCATTCTATTTTTGTAGGTGAATAGAAGACTTTCCAGAGAATTTCATGATGGATATATGTTACAAAGTTTTGTTGCAATCTTGTACACAAGGGGAGAGGCCCCTGAGGGCCAATTTAGTTCATTTTTAGGTAGGGATTTTTTTAAAATACCATTTTTAGGCTAAATACGAAAAGAAACACTGGCTAAAGGCTCTGACAGTCAGCTGGGTGGATAGGTAACCAGTTTCCCAGATTACTCTTTATTAATTTTATCAGGGATGCCAATCTCTTCCCAGAAGGAGGATATGAATTATATCAGGCTAAGAGCCTCTGTTCCAAGCCTGATTTAGGCCAGTTGTTTGGCTTTTTTGTTTTGTTTTGTTCTTTTTAGAGTCCCTCTTTTTGGCAGGGACATCCTACCTGTTTAAGTTAAATACCTGACTTGGTCAAGAAGGCCCATCCAGTTGCACTTTTGTTCTAGGAACAAAGATGAGAGTGTTGCCTGGGTCAGCGCTTCCCAAACAATGCGGGCCAGTCCCCTGCGGGTTTGTCAGATGAGATTCTGGGGCCGCAGGTCTGGGGCGGGCCTGGACCCCTGCCTTTCTCTCCAGCGCCCAGGTGCTGCTGGTCTGGGCACCACACCTTGAGGAGGGAGGGAGGGCATTGTTAGTCGCTGTGTACATTTCTCACGGATGGCGGGGTGAAGTGGAGGCTTACCTTGTACCACACACGCACAGTTGATTCCTCGCGGTATTTATACTCACTGACCTTATTCCTTTGGGCCAGCATCTGTATCGGGGAAGGCTCTCTCAGCATCACCCCTAGGGGCAACGATTCTTGTAGTCTGTGCACCTGGGCCTCTGCGGCGGAATGGTAGCCGGGTCCCTGGAGGCCTTCCTACTTCAGTGGGTGCAGCAGAAGACAGCGATAAACACTCAAGGACGCCCTTGCTCTTTGCTTTAAAACTCTGTAGTCACGTGTTGAGGAAACAGAATTAAAAACAAAATCTCCCAACTGTCAAAAACCTGAGCTAGACAGTAGTTAAAGTGGTAAAAAGCCAATTTTGTTCAGGATTCTTGCAGTAGTGTGGGGGAGCAAAACTTGCCAACCGAAAAAGCGTCTCTTCGACATGCGTGTTACTTCCAGCTGGAAACAATCAAGGCCCAAGATCTGACAGAGCCTTTGACCTTCCCTCTAACAGCCTGAAGCATGTGGGCGGAGGACCTGTTGCGGGAAGGGAGCATCACTGTAGATCACTAGTGTGTGAACCAGGGGTGGAGACAGGGAGGACCCTGCAAAGTCTGTTGAAGTTCCTCGCTGTGTTCTCTGTCTCCGCAGGGCCCAACCAGCATTTGCTTTACCATCTCCAAGCCAGTTGCCTTCCTCTCCTTTAGGGTCCCAGGCTGCCACCCCACCCCTTTTGTCTTCAGCCGAAGATGGTGTTTAAGGTGAGGGTTTCGGCTGTTCCGACGAGTTGCTCGGTTTCCCTGGGTCTCTGCGGTGCACAGAGGTACTGAAAGTTTTGTTGGATTCTTCTCGTGTTCATCTGTCTCGTGTCGGTTCTTCTGACTGGTCTAAGAATTAAACTTAGAAGGGTAGAGGAAAATTCCTTCCTCCTCGGCAGAGGAAGGGAGACCACAGTAAACACACGGCTGGGTTCAGTTCTGAGTACAGCGTGGGCACGCGGGAATTCAGAGCCAGAGAGCAGGGTAGGGTTGGTGGATGGAAAATAACTCAGAGGAAACATCAGGGGGACCGGGAGGGGGTTCTGGCTGCACTGACCTAACGGGATTCTTGCTGAAGGCAGGGCAGGGGGCTCAGACTTCACCTGGGATGGTGAAGGACAAGAAACCTAATTAGACATGGAGGGAGGTGAGTGGTTCTGGCTAAACTGACTCAGCAGAACCAGATTTTACAGGGAAGTGCGCAGACGGGCCTCAGAGAAGGTCCAGGAGCCTGAGTAACGTGTGACCAAGCAAAGAAGCTTTGTCACAACCCAGAAAACATCCCCACAAAGGTAGAAGAGAAGGAAAACAGTGCTGCTATTGACTAGGCATTCCTCCAGCACGTCAGGAGCGCCACAGGCCGCTGCCGACGGAATTGCAAAGACAGAGAGCGGTCTTGCCCTTTGAAAGAGCTAAGTGGCCGCAACCCTTCATTTCAAGGACATGGCTCTCTGGCCCTTGGACAAACGTTCCAGAGTCGTGGGATTGCAAGAGACTTGTTCAGCCACGACAAAGATCTACAGACATTTGAGGACGAGGAAATTCTGGAAGAAAAGGGAGTCAGGGTCAGGGGGTTCTCCTTGATTTTCAACAGGGAGGACTACGCCTCTGATTGTTCATTTGCACCTGCCCTCGTCCACACTGGCTGATTCCTGAAGCTAAAGTGTTAAGAGCAGCCTGCAGCGTTGAAGAAAGTGCGTAGAGTGCCTGCTTAGCATGCACAAGGTTCTGGGTTCTATACCTACTACCTCCATTAAAAGTAAATAAATCTAATTACCTCCCCCAAAAAAAGTAAGGGAAGGGGGAAGGGAGGGGAGGGAGGACATTAGGGGGAAACAAAGGGCTTTTAGGAAAGATAAATGGGCCTTTAGAAGAATAGAGGAGAGTTCTGGCAGTTTTATGTCTGTCTGGGGGATTCTGATCTGCGCGTGGGTGTCTCCAGGGATAGGGGTCTGCCTGCACAGGTCTGCATCCCAGCCTGGGGAGGGGATTTGTGACAGTTGAATTCTCTTGGGAAGTTCTGCTTTTAGGCATATAAGGTGGGGCAGGGGGTCAGAAAAGAAAACAACAACAAAATTTTCTGGATCCCCTCAACCTGCCTTTTTTTTTAATGAGTAGGTTCTTTTGTGGGTGGGGCGTAATTGGGTTTCTTTATTCATTTATTTAATGGAGGTACTGGGAATTGAACCCAGGACCTCATGCATGCTCGGCATGCCCTCTGCCACTGAGCTGTACCCTCCTCCCAACCTGCATTTTTTTTCTTTTCTAATTTTGGTACAAATCAAGGAACTCACCGTCTCCTTCCTTCCTGCCAAGTAAGAGGAAACTGAGATGACGCAGACTGGCTCTAGGGGCAGGCGGGCTCAGGCTCCAGCCTGGCTCCTGAGCGTCCCCCTGCCCTGCCCCCATCTCTCCAGCCGCTGACCCCCTCTCCCCACCATGAATCCTCGTGTGGTGACAGAGTTCCCCTCTGCACACCGGCAGTGGCTGTGTGTCACCTCCAGGAGCTCATTCATTCCCCCAGGCGTGTAATTTCCGTCAGGGAGTTGCTTCCTTGAGAAAATAGCTGCTCCACGTGGAGTTTCAGTGACTTCAAGACCCTGGGTCAGGGGCGAAGAGTCTCACTCATCCAGCCGTGGCGCTGCGGACCCACAGGGAAGGGGCAGAGAGCGCTAAACCTAAAAGCTGCCACCTAAGGCCCGCTTAACCTGCACCTGGCGCTGGGCTCCAGGCTTCGCCTGCGTCTCCTCGGCTCCTCCAAACAGGTTTCTGAAGCCAGGCGGCTCTTTTCTTCGCTTTGTCGAGAGAGGGCCTGGGACACAGGGACTGTCACTGCCAGGGCCCCATGGCCAGTGAGCGCTGGGGCTGGAACATGGGCCCTGCCGACTCCCAGGGTGACACGCAGTGAAGGGAGGGTCTCATTCAAAAAAATTGTAGAAAATATTAACAGTATTTTAAACAAAATCTCTATCAGGTATTTCCATTCTCTGTTACGTCCAGTTAATGCAGACACAGGAGAAGGGGAGAGATGGACGGAGCCCGGAGCACGGGAAGAGGGGAGCAAACGGAGGCTCCGCAGACCAGAGCAGAGCACCCTCCCCCACACGCGCGCGCCCGCACGCACGCCCGCGCACATACGCACACGCACGAAGTGGAACAGAGGCCCAGAGGGAGGGACCCCAGCTTTATAAAATTATTGTAGAACACGTGTCATGTCATTTTCCGAATGACTTTTCATCTCAGTTCTGCTAAAGCTGTGGTCATCTCAAGAAAAAGTCCTGATGACACAAGAGTAAAGGGTGTTTAGTCAGATTTTCTAACTGCCTCTGAAAGGGATGAGTGAAGCCAGCTGTGAAAGGTCTACTTTCTAGTTCCTTTCTGCATTATTTATTTTTCATGCCTGGCATTGGGCGTCTAGACCATTCCATGTATTCTTGTTTTTCTTTTTGTAGGCGGGAAGTAATTAGGTATTTTTTTTAATGGAGGCACTGGGGATTGAACCCAGGGCCTTGTGCGTGCTAAGCATGGGCTCTACCACTGAGCCACACCCCCTCCCCCATTCCATATATTCTAAGTGGAACAAACTAATACACAGGTGCTGAATACCTGCTCATTTCCAGCCATCAGAGACCCCAGTTCACTACAGTTGAACAGACTGTTAACCACTACATTAACTAAGTGCATAAAATGCTAATATCCTAATATGCACATTTTGGGCAAGTGATGTCATAATTTGTCAGCCTGCAAACATTTTCCTTGGGATATGCTGGGCTCCCCTACCCCTCTCCCTTCCGGACTTCCTGTGCAAACAACACAATAGCTGGAACCAACTGCAGGCCAACTGCTTCGGGTGTTAACTCTTGTCACGCTACCCGGAATAGAGGTGTGGACTTGTTTACTTGGTTTCCCTGGGAACAGTCTGTCTTCCAAGGAATACTGGGGAAGAGTTCCCGGCTGGAACACGAAGCTCTGAACGGCAGCTGGTCGACCTGGGGGAACGCGAGCTGACTGAGCTCGGGGAGGAAATGCCTTCTTGGTTGCCGGGTGGCAGGGAGAGGAAGTGGCCCGGATTGTGGGCTGTAAGAAAACAATCCTTCCAGCGGGGCCCTCGGTGTCCTCCAGGAGGCCTGGGTCTTGCAGGGATCTGTCACAGCAGTGGGCCGGGGAAGAGGGTGATAGTGTGTGAAGACCGAGCCGGAAGGCTGTGTGTGTGGATTGTCACCGCTGGCCCACCTGCCTCTGGGGGTGGAAGAAGCCCGCTGCATCTTTGATGTTTACGTCTCAAAATTACCCGCAAACTGGAAGCAACCAGAGGCAAAAGGAAGAAACAGATGAAACAAAGCATGGTACAGCTGTACAGTGGAAAGTTGCTCATATTTTGATGAGTGAAGGCAAAAAACTCACCATATGATTCCACGTACATTCACAAACCGCCAAGTCAGGCAGAAGTGATGCTGTGTTGACGGAGGTCGGAACACTGGTTGTTTGGGGGAGGGGGACGGGCACTGGGCTGAGGAGAGGGAGCCTTTGGGACAGGAAGTACTCCTTGTCCTGAGCCACAGGGCTGTTGAGGGTCTGCCTCTGTGAAAACAGGCCTAAAATTTGCACTTTTCAGTATGTGTACGTTATACCTCAATGAAAAAACCCAAAACAAAACACGTACGTACTGTGTGGTTTCATTTATAAACTTCCTGAGCAGGAAGTCTAGGCCATGTGTACAAGTCGGGAGGGGGTGACTGAGAGTAGGACAAGGGGCTTCTTTTTTTAACACCTTTATTGTGGTATGGTTCCTGTGCAGTAAACTACACACATTTGAGATGAACGATTTGAGGAGTTTTGATAGATGTATATACCAGTGAAACCGCCACCACAATCAAGATAGCTCACATTTCTGTTACTCCCCAAGGGGTGCAAATTTCAAATTCCCAGTTTATCCCCTCCCACTTCCTTTACCCCCCTGGTAACTGTGAGCTTGTTCTCTATGTCTGTGAGTCTGTTTCTGTTTTGTAGGTAAGTTCATTTGTGTCCTTTTTTTTAATATTCCACATATAAGTGATATCATACGGTATTTTTCTTTCTCTTTCTGACTTATTTCACTTAGAATGACAATCTCCAGTTCCATCCGTGTTGCTGCAAATGGCATTATTTGATTCTTTTTTATGGCTGAGTAGTATTCCATTGTATAAATATACCACATCTTTCTCCAGTCATCTGTCGATGGACATTTGGGTGGTTTCCATGTCTTGGCTATTGTAAATAATGATACTGTGAACACTGGGGTGTGTGTTTCTTTTCTGATTAGAGTTCCCTCCAGGTATCTACCCAGGAGTGGGATTGCGGGATCATATGATGTCTATTTTTAGTTTTTTGAGGAATCTCCATACAGGACAAAGGAGCTTCTGGGGAGGGTGGCCATGTTAAGAGTTCTTGACTGGGGCTGTAGTTACATAGGAGTATTCTCTTTGTGACTGTCCAGCTGTAAGCTGGGGATTTGTGATTCTCTGTTTGGATGCTATACTTCAATAAAAGATTTATTTGAAAATATTATGTGCAGCATGGTCCTGTTTTTGGCGGGGTTGAAAATACATGTGCAAAGAAAAACCCTGGGAGCGACTGTGTTCATTTCCTGTGGTGGCTGTAACTAACAAGTTGCCACCAACTCAGTGGCTTGACACAACACAAATGGACTGTCTTCCACTTCCAGAGTCAGAAGTGTGTCTGGGGGCTCCTGAGCTGAAACCCGGGTGAGGGCAGAACGCTTATTTTCCCATGGGGCCACTGGGATAATCCAGGCTGATCTCCCTTTGTTAATTCCACCCGCAACTTTCATTCCTTTTGGCCACGTGACCTGACTTACAGGTTCTGGTTTGGGATGTGGACATCTTTGGGGGAACCATCCTTCTGTCAACCACAGGCATCCAATAAAAAGTTAAGAATGCTGATTTCTAAGTGGAAGGGTCTTCCCCCTAAACCTCATCTGTATTTTCAGAAGTTTCCCTGGGAATACACATACTGCTTTTGAGATGAGAAGAATGAAATACAGGCTGTCTATATGGATGGTGTCTTTCTAAGCTGTGGTCAGTCTTCCAGCCAGGGCAGTCCTGGGCAGCTAACAGCATACCTGAGCCTGAAGCGTTTTAAAAGATGAATCGAAAAGCATCGAAGCCTTGAGCAGATCACTGCCCTTGGAAATTCTTCTGTTTCAGCCAGGCATGCAGAGCAATCTTACCTGGAAAGAAGCCAGCTTTCCTGCTTAAAATTTCGATCAAACCTTAGAGTTTAACATTTGAAATAAAAGGATGCTTTACCATGGACTTTTAAAAATATGTGAGACAAGTGAATTACATTTGGGAAACAGAGTTTTGGTCACTTGCCAGGATACCATCACATTCCTTTCCCCAGGGGGGGCACCTGGTGTCTGTGAGAGGCGGCGCCACCCCCTGCCCACTTAACCGCGGAGAGTGGAGAGTGTGAAGTCAGCACTGGTCTCCCGTCTCACCCCTTTGCCTTCCCTGCCAGCCCTCCTTTCCTGGGTGCTTTCTGGGTCATAGGCTGAATGCACCCCAAAACGCATCTGCCGTCACAGACTCAGCAAAGAACAAGTTAAGAAATGCCAGCCGAGGTGAGTCTTTCTCTGCTCACTCGCCTCTGATATACCGCCAGTCTGAGGTTATCACTGCCTTTGGGACAAACGGCAGTTCACAGATGAGGATCCTTAAGGCCTCGCACTTCCCACGGAGTAAAACAGAGGGACTTGTGAGATGTGCGTCTTCACTGTTCCCACCTTACACCATCCCTTGCTCCTGACTCTGCCGTAATGAACACAACCTCTTCCCCTACTCACAGGCCTAAAATGCTCCCAGGCACATGCCTTCTGGTCTCAGGAGAGAGACCCTGGCTGCTAAATGTGGGGCGCAGATAAGATTGGCAGAGGTCGCCCAGGGCAGAAAGGAGAGGCGAGGGCCAGCGTGCCTTGTCCGCCTAAGTGACTTCGTGTGTGTGTGTGTGTTTGTGTGTGTGTGTGTGTGTAGGGAGGTAATTACGTTTATTTTTATTATTATTATTTTTTTAATGGAGGTACTGGGGATTGGACCCAGGATCTTATCCATGCTAAGCACGCACTCTACCACTGGGCTATACCCTCCGTCCAAGTGACGTCTTTTTTTACGACACCATTTGTATGGCCACCTGGGTATCTGGGATAAAAGACGTTATCTTAGAGATGCTAGAAGCCACTCTCTTCCCTCCACCCCACTCTTGATTCGAGAGTCAGGCACAAACTTCAAATAAAACATTAAGTCCCCACAGCATCTTCTGGAGGCTCGTAAACCACAGGAATGATGCTCCCCTTGGCTGCCAGCTCCCAGTCACAGAGCTGTGTTCTTGTTTCACCTTTAGTCCTTAATTTAACCATTCACTCCAGGAATCTGCCCCTCTTCCAGCTCCTTCCTAAGTCGAAAGAACGTTTGTATCAGTAACATCATGTTCAAACAATCTTGGGATTCCACGGATCTTTCCTCCACCAGTTTCAAATAAACTGGTAAACGCAAATGGGGGCTTTTTACCCTGGGAACGCGGGCTGAGCGTGTCTGTAGCTGCTGCATGATTGTTTTTAAAGCTGGGAGTCCTTTGTCCTGTGGCAGCCAAGTGTGGGCTCAGGTGTTTTCATCAATCAGACAGACTCTTGTTATGGGCTGGGGGGGTGGGGGTAGGGGGGGTTGGCCTTCACTCTGGGTGGCTGACGCCTTTCTCTGGTGCTGCTCACCTCCCAGAAAAGGGACATTTTGCTCTGACCACCCTGTGAGTTACTGCAACCAAAGCAGCGTCGTCTCTTGCTTTTAAAACCCAGGGGAACAAGTCACTGCCTCCTAAATGAAAAGGAACAAAACCAGCACTGGGAGAGGCCGTGGTGTGGGGGTGTTTTCCTGGTGTCCAAGAGTACTTGGCAGAGCAAAGCGAGAACACTGATGCTAAAATCCTCTTGATCAAGGCCTGTTTTGAAGTTGGTTCATTGTGCGGTAAGGGAAAGGAAAGGACTGAAAAGTTTTGACTCTCACATATTTTGAAACCCTATGAAAATTCGCATGGCTGTTCTAGGCTCTGGCTGCTGCAGGAAACTGGTGTGAGGGGGTCCCTAGACAAGGCAGGGTCTTCTGAGAGCTAGAATAATGGTGTGAGCAAAAACAGACCCAGAACCCAGAGGAAAGAGGACTTGATCCTGACCTTTGCATCGGAGGGATGGGGTTGGATTGCAGGGGGCAAAGACTGGGAAAAGAGGCCCTCCAGGTGGAAGAAGCTCAAAGTTCTAGAGAGGCATGCACTCCGGGGACAGGGAGTCCTTAGGTGGCCAGTCTCAGGACCTGGTTTTCAGCCCTGGCTCCTGGGGCACACACAGTAGCACTAAGTCAAATTTTTAGCATTGTTTCCATATTGTGCTTTATGAGTCAGAGAACTGGCACAGGTATCTATTTGCTTAAAAAGTCAGGAGTTTTTTTGATTTTTGTTTTTTTCCATTTTATTTATTTA